CTTAGCACAGGGAAAGTAAGGGAAGCAGGGCCTCGGTGAAGGTCTGGGTAGGCCATGGTGAGGAGTTTGGATTTTATTCTCAGTGGGCTGGGAAGCCATTAAAGTGTTCTGAGCCGGGACATGACATGATCTGCTGGCTCACTGCCTTCTCTCTATCTGCAATGGTCATGCCTTCATCTCTCAGCCGGGCCAGTTCCTACCCATCCATCAAGACTAGTACAAATGTCATCGCTGCCGTGAAGCCTTTCCTGGAGTTCCTGCCACCTGTAACCTCTCTTTTAGTATCTTATCATTCAGAGGGTATTTGTTGCTGTTCACCTGATATTGTAGATTCCACATGGACAGGTTCTCATCTGCGTCATTTTTGGATCTCCACTACGCTAAGTCAGGGTTTGGAACTTTCTAGATATCTGTTTGTGTGTGTGTCTCTGTGTGTGTGTGTCTCTGTGTGTGTGTGTGTGTCTGTCTGTGCGTCCTATCTTGTCCTTTCATCTGTTTCCATCATCTGAGGAGTCTTCTTCTGAGAATCTGACAGTCCTTGATTTCTAAAATGGCCGACCTGCTCCAGGACAGAAGCTAGATTCACTAGGGCCCTGCTGTTGATATAGTCGTTACTCTCCCACCCCAGGGACATTTTGAAGATTAAATGAATTAGCGAGTTAGTAATTGTACAGTGCTGGCACATAGTAAGCATTCCAAAAATAAATTTGACAAAGAGCAGCAATAATTATTTTTCGAATATTTGTTTATTGCATTAGAAACAAGCTTTCCTATTGTTGGTAGTTAGGGAGACTCTGTATCGGCATTGTCCTCTTGTTGGCTTTCCAAGGATACGTGATTACTTTTTGTCAATGCACCAATTAAATTCCTTTCCCACTGGCATCCAGAACTGTTGCTAAAACTTAGTAGGGCCGAAGGCTGACCATCCTGTTTCTTTAGCTTGCTTAAACAGTTGAATAGGTTGGGAATTGCAACAAATATTCCTTGAGTGATAATTACATGTCTAGTGTAATCCCAGATGTTGTGTGAATGTTTACAAAAGAAGAATAAATGGATATTGCACTGTATTAAATTGAGTTAGACTAAGTTTCCTAATTTTATAGTTTTTAAAACCAGTTCTGTATTGCATACATAGCCATCCTCTCCTCTCTTCTTCTCTGCTTCTCTCCTAGAGTTCATCCATTGCCATGCCACACCTCTCTCTTTTCTTAGGATCTTGGCTGCCCACTACATTTCTCTACTTCCCCCGTACAACCTGGGGATAAAGTCATCATAATATCTTATGTTACATGATATTTTACAGTTTACAGAATAAGTCGACTACAAGATCATGTTTAGATCTTGACAGCACCCTTGGAAAGGAGGGAGGGAAGATGGTATTTATTTTCCCCATTTACAGATAAGGAAGATGAAGCACGAGACAGTGACTTGCAGGAGGTCGTATGACTGGTGAGTGGCAGACTCAGGCCTGAGTACCCATACAGCACCCTTTCTGCCAGGTCTCGCTGCACAAAATAGACATGTTCCAGTATCTACTCATGGAGGGGAGAAGTAAAATTAATAAATGTCATGCAATGGAAGAAATCCATATTCCAATTTTATTGCTTTTTAAAAAAGGTAGCCTGAACTTCTCATGAGGATGTCAACATCACTTTGGTCATCTAGAAGCATATGCTTTGGTGTCAGACAGACTATGATTTGAATCTGCCACTAATAGGTGACACACTAATAAGCTGTGTGATCTTTATCAGGGTGCTAAATCTTTCTAAAGCTTATTTATATAGTACATGTAAAATAAAGATAATTTCTATGTCATAATGTTACTGTGACAATTAAATGAATTAATATACATAAAATGCCTGGTATGTAGTGGCTCATAAGGTGGTGGTTGTTACTTTTATTAATATTAGTCCAGATCTTCTACCATTTGATCACACCCCAAATATTATACCATGAGGGTGAAAGGTTCAGTGAATTATGGAAAACACCATGGCTAGAAGCTCCTGCAGGGCAGCCATCTCTTCTGGACCAACCAGAAAGCCTTCCACATCATCATCCTTCTTTTGCCCACCTTTTTCATTAGAAGGCTGCATAGCTTCCGGGGACTCCAGGCATCTTTTCAGCCTAATGCCGTGTCCTGAACATCGCAGACATTCAATAAATATGTTTGTAGTGAATGAATCCTTTAGGAGATACATATATCTCCAAAGAGAACGAGTCTGAAATTTATAGTCTGACCACCTGTTACTATAAGTATAGGATAAATACCTAGGAGGACAGTTATTGGGTTAAAAGGTATATGTTGCTAAGTTGACTTGAGTGTATTTGAGCTAATTTAGTTACCGCTAGTAATGTATGAGATTCCTGATTCCTTACTACCTTGCTAATACTCAGTATTGTCAGACTTTTTAATGTTTCCTAATTTGATGGGCGTGAAACAGTACTGCAGGGTTGTTTTATATTGAATTTTCTTGATAAATAATAAAGCTGAAGATTTTTCACGTGGATATCAGCCATGTGTGATCCTCCCTGAAATGCCTGTTCATGTCGTTTCTCATTTTTTTTAATTCGGTGGTTTATCTTTTTCTTATCCATTGGTAAGAGTTCTTTAAATATTCTGGATGCTAATCATTTGTTGGCTTATATGTCCAAACAACTTTTAAAAATATACATAACCGTGTAAGTGGTTCTAACCGGGAATATGAACAAGCTGTGCTCAGTGGAAATTAACTCCCACATGCTTCCATCCTTTTTCAAGATCCATATTTTAGTTAGCTACCAAAGCCTTTAGGTTATAGAAAAGGGAGCGAACAGCCGATGGACACATTTTGTGAGCAGTAGACCTGCTTAGTAGTCCTTGACACAATGGTGGAAAACAGGTCCTGAGTTCCTCCCATTAGAAACGACTTCCCCCAAACCCTGTTGTGGTGCAGAGCCCTCACCGAGCTGTGATATTCCCTGAGAGGACACAGATTGGAATGACAGTCAGTCTCCATCAGCAGATAATGCTTTCCAGGAAAAGGCAGAACACTTGCCAGGTGATCTGTGGTTTCATCCCTTACTGCCATTTTCTAGCCATTTGCCCCTAAAAACAAATCACACTAAATAGAACTAATGATCACTACCCAAGGATATTAGAAAGATCAAATGAGATTATAAATATGAAAGACTATGTAAAATACAAGGTATATTTTCTAAGCTCTTGGAGTAACCTTGTTGACCTACAACCTTTAGGTGCTATTCCTTCTCCTACTACCTGTTCTGCCTACAGGTACATGACTGTAGAGCAGTAGTTCTCCCAGTGTGGTCTCTGGACCAGCGACATCCTCACCCCCAGGAACTGTTTAGAAATGTAAAATTTTGGCCCTACCCGAGAGCTACCGAATCAGAAACTCTGGAGGTGGGGCCCAGCAACTTGTGTTTTAACAAGCCCTGCAGTAATTCTGACGTGTGCTCAAGTTTGAGACCCACTGGCCCAGTGGGATGTACAAGGCTTTAAAGTCATCAGATGTGGGTTTTAAATCTTAACTCTCCCATTTGCCAGCTTCTGATGTGAGCAAGTTACTAGGCTTCTCTTGGGCTTCCAAGCTCTCATCCTTAAAAGGAACATGATATCCTCTTTCTCCTGAGGTTGTTGTGAGAAGTGAATGACAAGAAGTACCCTAGCTTTGCTACTTTTTAGTTATGTGTCCTTTGGAAAGTCATCTCACTTCTTTCTGCTTTATTTTTCTTATCTAAAAAGATGGAATGGCAAGAGTTAACATGTACGCACTGCTTACTGTGTGCCAGCCACTGTCCTAAACCTGTACATATTTTATTTAATTCTTACAATAATCGTGTTTTACAATCTCCATTTTACAAATGAGAAAACCAAGGTACAGAGAGGTTAAGTAACATTTCCAAATTTACACAGCTAGTAAGCTGGAATGCAAACCTAGGCAGTATGCTGTGAAAATCCTTGCTTTAAAGAATAAATAATGAGTTCTCAATGTACAATGATGAGGACAAAAAGATTGTGTGGCACATAGTAGGCATTTCATATGTTAATTCTCTTTCACTT